TTAAGTTCGTCAGAGAAGGCCCCCTTTTAAAAGGAGGCCATGTTGCCCTCGCGTTAATCCGGCACTGCATCTACTTGATGACCACTTGCAGCCAACGCATTAACTTGCAATTTTGCTAGCAAAGAATAAAAACTTTACATTTTGAGTCACTCGTTTTTGTCTTTATATATTTATTTGATTTAATTATCATATAAAGGTAATACCAAAAATGTTTATATATAAATCTTAGGCTTTTTGGTATTTATAAATTTTATATTTCAATTAAATAAGTATTTATTCTTCAAAACATAATTTAATAAAGGTGAAAGATTATAAAAAAACAAATGAGCTGGGGTTAAATTAATTGAAAACAAAAACATGCAAATAAGTTCTTCCAATCGAGAACTATATTTTCAAAACAGTGGTTACTTTAAAATTTTTAGAAACAAAACATCTCACTAAATATGTACTAAAACATAAATGTGGATATACAAACACGTTGAGACGCAAACATCATGATCACCACCTACAAACGATTGTACCCACACATGCATAATTTTACACATTACAAACAAATAAAAAACACACATGTGTTGGCATCCACATAAAGACACGCCTACACGCCTAAAAACTCACACAAACACATGCAGACATAGACATCCATGCAAACAAACTTGGACGTCCATTCGCACAAACATAAGGCTTAGAAAGACCGCGAAACAATCTAGAGAGAAGTCAAATTATTATTCTTAAAGCGTGTAAAACACATCAAGCATTAGAGAATGTCAACACTTAGTATTCAAGTGTTTGTTCGCAGAGACCAGCATTTATCTTGCCAAACCTATCTTTTTACGACTGCACAAACACAGCAAGGCAGAGCGGACGTTGAAATTATAAGAAACTACATGTAGAAGAGATCCATTCAGACATCTTCTAAACAATATTCATATAAAATAATATATAATCTTTTTTTCTAAATAAAATTTATACAACCTTACAGTTCATAAAACGGAATAAGAATGCAAGGAATTTGTTTTCAGTTCAAAAGCAATTTAAAAAACTTCATCCTAAAGATTGTTGTGGAAATAATAAAGATGTTTGACCATTTTGTATGATAAATAGAGCAAGTTATTAATTTGTTAGGCTTCCTTTTTTAAAAATTGACGCTTGCTAACAAAAACCCCATTGTAATATTTTCTACTGCAATGAAAACATCTTGATTTAATTGGAATTAATTATTATTTAAATCAATGAATAAATAAACAAACAAATAAATAAATAAACAAATAGATTTAAGTAAATTAATTTATCGCGACCAGGTAAACATTAAGTGACTTTTAACCAAATGAGTTTCAAATGAATAATAAACAAATAAATAAATAAACGATAAATAAATAAACTTCAAACAAATGATTAAAATGTAAATAACTAAATAAACCATCCTAAAAAATAACGAACAAATTTTCTTACTTTCGTCATAGTGGTCTAGCATTGCAGAACATCCACACATCAACATCACCAGTGCAACTAATTTCATCTCAGTAGCAGATCAAACTATTGAAATATTGGCAGGAATCATTGGAGTGTTGCATTTAAACTTTATACGTGCCTGCCGCGTCTGCCGCGTAAGATGCACTCGCTCTATTGAGCAATCTGCACCAGCAACATGCAAACATATACTTCCTGAACCAGACTATACACGAAATGAACTGATACGCGATTCGGCAATGTACTGCCTCTATCAAACATGCCTCGCTGATACTTCATATTCTACCGGCGCGTTTATATACCGTGCGTCAAAAACGTCACATGCAATGACGTTTAAGCACTTTACTTATGAACGTATGAACGGTTCAAAAAGGCAGATGCCGTGCAACAAGCTGATAAAATTTTAAAGAACAAATCATTAAAAAAAATAACAACATTAATTATTTGCCTGGATGGATGTAAATAACACAAGAATAGTTTATTGAGAATTTCAAATTCGTAGAAAATTATTATTAACTTTCATGAAGGAACCTATTGAGAAATAGCAAAATTCTTCGAGTATTATAACTGTTGAACGGGGAAACGATCAACATTTAGATTCATCACTCTTATTGATAATAATATAGCTCCTTTTGCATATTGTGCAGAATAAAATTTATACAAACACACACGTACACACGCACACTTGAACAAACATATACAAATAAACAAACACACAGAGAGATAAGCAAGCACATACACACACGCATACATCTTAAAGAAACATCCTAGATAAAACAACTTAAGAAGATGCGTCCAAGCTTTAAATGCACTCGACAAAAATTCGTTATAAACCTTGTAAATATCAAATAAGCAAGTTGTATGCGTATAGAAACTATTTACATCAAAATAAAATAGAGGACTCATCAAAATTTTATGTATTTATCGCGGAACGTCAGATGCAGCAAAACTTATGCTGTTAACTGGACAAAATTTTTTCATATAAGAAAGTTTAAGCATTTTAAAAATAATGATACTTATTGTCCATTAAACATACACAACACATAATTGAATAAAAGAAGATAGACAGCAAAAAATGCCGAATAGCAGAAAACACGTGCGAATTTCACTTTTCTTCTTACAAGCAGTGCCATGCCATATACACGGCTGATGAGTAGAACAACATGTAGCCCACGGATGTAAACAAACCACGGAAGTAAATCATGAAAATTAGCAATTAAAATATAACACCAATTTCATGTGCCAAAACTGCAAAGGATCAGTGTTGCAAGACTGATAAAATCAATGCCCGAAGAAAGAAAAACACTTATGTGGGAGGGATTTTTAAAATTAAACGTTTGAAATAATTGATTTCATTTTAGTCCGCTTAGGAGTCTGAACACCCGACAATGTTATATCAAGAAATTTCCACATGCATGTTGACATCAAAGCATGCATCGCTGGCTGGCTTCTTCTTTCTCCACACAACTTTAGAACTTTATAACACTTTATAACAACTTTATAAATACTCCATGAAAATCATTCACATCCACACCCGTACACACAGCACACAAACAAACAAAAACACACACAAAAAAACAAACAAAGACGCAAACACACACACGCATATATATATATATATATATATATATATATATATATATATATATATATATATATATAGTCAATCAATTTAAAGTTTGTCTTTTCAATTTTCCTTACAAGAATTTACAGGAATTTTCTGGAAATTATTAAATTTTTTCAGAATAAAGTTATTATCCAAGTTCATCATGAAAATTTAATGAAACTGTTGTTATCAAAATTCATCATACATGATGAAATATGGTCTCCTTTCAACATATATATATAGATATATATATATATATATATATATATATAACCAAATAATAGAAAATCTAAATAAATTAATAGGAATAAATAATAATAATAGGAAATCTAAATTAATTATTAAAGATGAACAATCTAATAAATTGATCACAGACGAGAACGTAATCTGCGAAAAATTTAATGGTTTCAACGTTGATACAGTAAAAGAGTTCTCCATGAACAATTCATCAAATAATAATTCATTAGCAAAATATATGGGTGATTCCCAGACAGAGTCATTCTTTTTGACAGAAACCAATGAACGTGAAATTTACAGTGTTATTAAAAATTTTAAAAATTCTAAAAGTTCAGGTAAAGATAATATTTTCAATTTCATTATAAAAAAATAAGGCCACACACTTTTGAAACCATTAAAACATTTAATTAACTTGTCGTTGATTACTGGTAAATTTCCATCTTCAATCAATCAATCAATCAATCAATCAATCAATCAATCAATCAATCAATCAATCAATCAATCAATCAATCAATCAATCAATCAATCAATCAATCAATCAATCAATCAATCAATCAATCAATCAATCAATCAATCAATTAGCTTATAAAGCGCTATTTCCGCGATGTTCAACAGCGCTCCTCAATGAATTTTGAAAACAGATGGGTCTTGAGATCCGCTTTGGACTTCGCAAAAGATGGAGAAGTAGTCAGAGAAGTAGGTAGAGAGTTCCAGAGAAAAGGACCAGAAAAAGCAAAAGCAGATTTGGTAAAAGAGTGTTTAACACGAGTTAAGAAAAAGCGAGAAGATGAAGACGATCGTAAACTGGGGCGTTTAGGTTCAATTAATATATCTGATAAATACTTAGGAAATAATTTAGATTGAGACTTATACATGAACGTGCAAATTTTAAAAGTTATTCTATATTTTATAAGTAGCCAGTGCAAGAGAACAAGATATGGAGATATATGAGGAAAGAAAGGGGCACGAGCAACTAGACGAGCAGCAGAGTTAAAAGCTTTACTTAAAGGATAGAGTATAGAGTCAGGAAGACCATAGTAGAGCGAGTTACAATAATCAATCCTAGATAAGACTAACGAAGTAACAAGAAGGAGAAGAGTAGGATCATCAAGAAAAGGCAAAAGTTTTTTTATTCTACGTAGATGAAAGTAAGAGCTCCTAGCAACACTATTAATCTGTAAGAGAGAGACATAGTAGAATCAAAGATAAAACCTAGACTACGAAATTTATGAGAGACATCAAGAGTTTTAGAATCTGGTAAGATAATAGGAGGGATAATAATAGAGTGTTTAAATTTATTGAAACAAATTAATTCAAACTTAGAAGGATTAAGTTTAAGACACATAGAGTCAGACCAAGCGATAATTGAAGAAAGACATAGAGATAAATTATGAAGAACACTATTGAGATTAAATGGAGGAAAAGAAGTATAAATGTAAGAATCATCAGCATATAGTTAACTAGAAAAAGAAAAGTTATAAATAATACGAGGTAGTTCAGAAGTATAGAGTATAAATAGAAGAGGGCCAAGGATAGAACCCTGAGGTACCCCAAAAGAAAGAGTAGAGGAGTTAGAAGTAGAATTATTGAAAACAACAGAAGAAAAACGATTACAGAGATAAGAAGAAAACCAAGATAGAAAAGAATCAGTAATATTAAAAGAAAGATGCAGTAGTCTCAAGAGAATAGTATGGTCAACAGTATCAAAAGCAGAGGAAAAGTCAAGAGTAAGAAGAAGAGTAAGATTACTATTGTCACTAGAGAGAAGGAAATCATTGTGTATTTTAAGTAAAGAAATTTCAGTATCTTGTTATAAGATGTGCATAATAATCCCTCTGTTTAAATCTGGTTGCAAGCAGACAATTGGTAACTATCGTCCAATTAGTCTGGTGTCCAGTGTGTCAAAAGTTATGGAAAAGATTGTATATTGTCGATTGATAAATTATTTTGAAATAAAAATCACACTTTGATTGATTGTCAGTACGTGTTCAAGAAGGGTTCTTCCACTGAAGTGGCCGTTTTTGACATGATCAGTAGAATTGTTGGTAATATGGAACTTAAAATCCATACCGTAGGGGTTTTTATTGACTTCAAAAAAGCTTTTGACTGTTTAAATCATACCATTCTAATTCAAAAGTTGAGTCATTGGATTGGAACATTGTTAGCCTGGTTCAAAAGCTATTTATCTGAGAGAAACCATTTTGTGTCTATTGACGGGTCAGCATCTGACTTGTTGCCAATACACACAGGCGTTGCTCAAGGATCGATCTTGGGGCCTCTTTTTAATTTATTTTTGAATGATATTGTTAGATCTTCAACAATTGCCAGATTTTTCTTGTATGCAGATGAAAGGACAATGTTTTTTGAAAGCTGCTGTGTAGAAGGGTTTAATAAAGTGATAAATCGAGAACTTGCATTAATTTTTGATTGGTGTCTTGCCAATAAAATGACTATTAATTTAAAAAAAAAAACATATTATCTAGTTTTTGGTCCTAAAATATCTACTAATTTATTGCATTTCAAAATATCTATTAATGATAACCTAATTGAAAGAACAGAAACAATAAAATTTTTAGTGGTGGTTATCAAATCTGACCTTTCATGGGAAAATCATATTAGCAATACTTCTCAAAAAATTTCTAATATAATTGGTATAATCAGCAAATTAAAATCTATTTACCCGTTTCATATTATTATAATGTTGTATTATTCGTTAATTTATCCATATCTAATATATTGTTTGCCTATCTCTGGCAATAGTCCTATTTGTTATTTAGCATTATGTCAAAGATATTTTTTAAGAATTTTGTTTAACGTAAGAAAATTTGACCACGTAAGCCATCTCTTCAAAGTAAGCAAAATACTTCCAATAAGCAGCTTGTATAAATTTTATTTGATGCTATTTTTTATAAATTATACAAAATTAATTTGTCGTCATATGCAACAGAAGCTATTAATCGATTTAAGTCTAAAAATAATCTGCATGTTAGACATGCATTATTTGCCGGTGACACAAACATAGATATACAGCAATGGCACCTTGATATGTGGATTAAAAACTTGGAACAAGCTAGCGACCAATATACAACAATCGCGATCCTACTGGAAGTTCAAGTCCGACATCCATAAACTGATAGAAACAGAATTTAATCAATCTTTTTTTTTTATTAATTTTTTTCTTTCTTGTTTTATGAAACAATATTGTGTTTTTTTTTGTTTTTTTTTTATTTTTTTTTTGACATTATGAACAAATTTTGTTTTATTAATTAGTTAAATTGACAATTGAACAGCATAATTTCTGTTAA